ATTGTTTTCAATGATTTCTCTTTCTATTTAAACCAATAGACGAGAAAATCATCTAAAATTCCATAGTTCCATATTTTAATTCTTTTATTTTTATCGGAATAATAATATTTTTGCCAACTCAAAAACTTTATCAATTTGTTTAGTGGGAAAGAAAGAAAATAGGAGAGTATTTGGTAAAAACAGGAATAATGAGACCAATCAATATAAAGCCAAGAGTATCATGTAACCGTTTTTCTTCGTCTTGTGAAACCTACATTCCTAAATCATACTTGCTTTCCTTTTTATGCTAATCTCCTCTCACACTTGTAATAACACTTTCTTTTCTGTTGTATATTCTTTCTTTTATTTTCTCTTTCTAGCTATAATTTCTTCTCTATTATCTATTCTTTCTTTTATTTTTTCTTTCTAGTTGCTCATACTATACAGATGGATTTAAAGTTTTTGCATACAGGTTTAAAATATTGCATCTTGCTTAATTAGGATTTTCATGCTAATGGGTTAAAACTGAACCAACAACTAACAATGTTAGTCCAAGAACAAACGTATCTGTTATTTAAAGCAAGTAATTGAATATAGCAAGCATAACCGGACATGCCTTATCAATAATTGAAGATATAAATTAGTTGAACTTAATCAGAGGGGTTAAGGGAATGGGGATAATGGTCTGATGCAGAAGAGAGAATACAGAAATTGAAAGAACACTAACATACATGATCGATTCTAGTGCAGAGGCGAGAGGTGGAGCTGATTGATGATAGCCGATTGGGAGGTGTCGAGGTGGATATGTTGTGTAGCGAACAAAGAATGATGGAGCGACTGAGCGAGGGTTAGAAATGTTTATGACTTTGGTTCGGATAGTAGAGGGCAACCTAAACAATTTCTTTTTTGGGCTTAATTTGGGTAAAGTTTACTGGGCTATATCTAGTTCTAAGAAAAAAAATCAAGGGGGGGGGGGGATTATCCCCTCCTGGCCCTAATGATCCTCCGCCTCTGATGGGAATGGAAGGTAAAAGCAGGGTCGAGGTCACACCAGAGATCGGGGAGGACCCAACAACTGTTGAGGATAATGTTTTTGACATTGGAATGGAGTGTAAACCTAACATTAGGAATAACACGTGAGGATAAAACCTCAATAAAGGACCGACATGGTACTATTTATCAAACCATTGAACCATGTAGAGGTGGATGAGTCATTACCAATATTGAAGACAAAAACTCTCTTAGGGTGCGTTTGGTTGTGGAAAACCGTTTTCATTTTCAATGAAAATGTTTTTAGAAAATACGGTTGGATTTTCATTTTCAATTTTCAATGAAAACGTGTTTGGTTGAAAAGGATGAAGTTTTCATTTTTCATCTTAGAAATTTGGAAAACTTTGGAAAACTGTAAAAATCACTATTCTAATTTTCATACAGTTTGGAAAACTGAAAATTTTCATTTTCTTAGAAAACTTTGGAAAACTGAACGAACTAAACGCATTTTTAAAATTTCCGTTTTTCTTGGAAAATTTTTCTAGTAAACTAAAAAATTTTCCACAACCAAACAAAATGTTTTCAAAAAATAGAGTTGAGTTTTCATTTTCAATTTCAATGAAAATTTTAGAAAACGCGTTTGGTTGAAACCGGGAGAGTTTTCATTTTCCATCTTAGAAATTTGAAAAACTATAAAAATCATTTGTCTAATTTACATACAATTTGGAAAACTAAGGGTGCGTTTAGTTACGAAAAAACAATTTTCATTTTTCATTGAAAATTTTTGAAAACGCGTTTAATTAAACTTAGACAAAAATTCAAAAATGGTCATTGTGGTTTCCAGAAATATCAAGTTTAATCCTTAAGTTCAAAAAACCTCATAGATAGTCCATGTGGTTTCAAAACTTTTAACATTTGGTCCTTCCGGCTCACTCCGTTAGCATTTCACCGTTAAGTAAGGAGTATATTTGTCATTTCACTACCCAATGACTATTTTTTAAGATTCGCCTTATTTAAAAAAAAAAGAAAAAAATATAATTATTTAATATTAATGGGTCCCACCCACCCTCTCTCCCACTCTCTCTCAAACGCACACACATACACACACAAGACCATAGTCCTTCCTTTCAGAAATTTCACCTCTCAACATTTACTCCTCTGCTACTTCTCTACTTCTCTCATCTCTCTCTCTCTCTCTCTCTCTCTATATATATATATATATATATATATATATATATATATATATATGCATGTGTGTAAAGGTTTTACGTATTGATCCACATAAAAAGGTCGTGTTTATAAAAAAGGTGTTACAAGTCTGACAAAGGAGGAGAAGCGGTGGAGGCAGGTATCGCCACCGCGAAACTGTTATGTATCCGATGATGGAGAAGCCGAAGGAGGAGAGTAAGAGATCCGAATGCAGATCTGATGTGATTAAGAGCTATAACAACTGTAAGAGTTACAAGTCTGACAAGCTTTCAAAGTTGCTGAGGATGTCGGAATTGTAGGAAGAGGAGGAGGTAGAAGCGGCGAAGAAGAAGGTGGAAGTGTTGGAGGAGTTAAAGCGGGTAGTGAAGGGGTTACAGTGCCGCAGAGATTTGAATTGTGAAGAGCTTAAGCCTAACCCAATTATTTACAAAATAGAAGCATTTATGCATTTCTCTTATTAACAAAAGCTTGTTTGTTAATCTCCTCAATTTAATACCTTCATCCCTGCATATTCCCCTGTTATCTGCTGGATTTCATATACTAAGGTATGGATGAATCATTTTGCATTCATTCATTATAAATTATTAACCGAGCTACGCACATATAGTGTTTGATAAAATGACAGAACCAAAATATTGCCCTATTCCACTAGCTTTTCCTTTGTTATATCCAACTTCATTCCACACCACTATTATACTTGACATTAAACCAGTCTATAGTGTTGATCTGGGAATTATAACCATTATACTTAGGAAAGGAGAAAAGAACGACCATAGTGTTCATCACCTATCGAATCTGTATTCATAATAAAAAGGGCCCATGGAAATCTATTTCAGATCAAATAAAAGAATGGAATCCGGGGGCGATTTAAAGAAAGGGGTGGAAGAATGGTGATGGTAGTAGGAAGTAGGAACGGTGTGTGTCTCTGTGTGTGTGTGGGAGAGAGAGAGAGAGAGAGAGAGAGAGAGAGAGAGAGAGAGAGAGAGAGAGAGAGAGAGAGAGAGAGAGAGAGAGAGAGAGACCCATTAATATTAAATAATTATATTTTTTTTCTTTTTTTTTAAATAAGGCAAATCTTCAAAAATAGTCCCTCGGTAGTGAAATAACAAATATACCCCTTACTTAACGGTGAAATGCTAACGGAGTGAGCCGGAAGGACCAAATGTTAAAAGTTTTGAAACCACAGGGACTAGTAATGAGGTTTTTTGAGCTTAGGGATTAAACTTGATATTTTTGGAAACCACATAGACCATTTTTGAAGTTTTGTCTTAAACTTATTCATTTTTCATTTTCAGTTCTAGAAAATTAAAAAATGTGTTTAGATGTGTATTTTTCTATCGGCTTTCATTTTTAGAAAACGTTAGCGGTGGTAGGGTGTGTGTGGGGGCGGTGACGATAGCGGGTCGATGGCGGTGGTGGTGATGACAGGCGATGGTGGTGGCGGCAGCAATTGTGTCAGTGGTGGTGATAGCGGCGGCAACGGTGGTGGTGGTGCTAGTGACGGGTTAGTGGTGGTGGTGGTGGTAATGTTGATGGTAGGTCGGTGATTGTGGTGGTGGTGTTGCGTGAGTGGGGGTGCGAGTGTGTGTATGTGTGTGTTTGTGGGGGGTATGTGTGTGTGTGTCTGTGAGGGTAGGGGTATGTGTGAGTTTGTGTGTGTGTGTCTGGGTGTGTGTTTGTGGGGGTGTGAGTATGTATATATGTGTGTGTGTGTTTGTGGGTGTGTGTGTGGGTGGGTGTGTGTGTGTGGGTAGGTATGTATATGTGTGTATGTGGGTATGTATGTGTGTGTGTTTGTGGGTTGGTGTGTGTGTGTGGGGGGTGGATGTGTGTGGGTAGGTATGTATGTGTGTGTGTGTGTGTTTGTGGGTTGGTGTGTGTGTGTGTGTGTGCGGGTGGGTGTGTGTGGTGGTGGGTATGTATGTGTGTGTGGGTGAGGGGTGTTAAGGTGGGGTAGGTAGAGGTGGATGGGGTGGGAGTGGGTGTGTGTTTATATTTTAAAAAAATTTGGAATTAGAAAAATGTGGAAAACAATGATTATCAGTTTTCCAAATATTTTCAACCTCTTTGTAATTTTAGAAAACAAAAAAATTTTATTTTCCGTGAAAAATTTAGAAAAATTGACGAACTAAACGCGTTTTTAAAATTCTAATTTTTCTTGGAAAATTTTTCCGGAAAACGGTCCATTTTTCCGCAACTAAACGCACCCTAAAAATTTTCATGTTCTTGGAAAATTTTGAAAAATTGAACGAACCAAACGTATTTTCAAAATTTCCATATTTCTTGGAAAATTTTCCTAAAAAACTGAAAAATTTTCCACAATCAAACGCACCCTTAGCTTTTCTCGCATGCTATGATGGAACTACGTAGCTTCTCAAATATTGTCATTAATCGATATAAAAACAAAAATAAGGTAAATTTGTACTTTTTTTTTTTACAAATGTAAGGTCTTTTGTGAAAATATCCTCTCTTTTTTTTTTTTTTTTTTTTTTTTTTTTTTTTTTTTTTTTTTTGTAATTTGCTATTGGTTTGATGAAAAGACATGGCAAATTATGTAAATGACGTGAAGGAGGAGGGTTAATCTATAAGGAGTCCATCGCTAGCCACTTCCCTCGTTACCCCTCTTTTTCTAATTCGCTATATAAATGCAACTCCTACATGTGAGCCTCTTCATCCCTCTCTTACTTGTAAAAAGAAGAGATTCTCTCTGTCAAATATAAACAAAAATCTAAATCTAAATCCAGATCGTTGTTCTCCGTTTGATCTGGTGATTATTACCCTTTTACTGTTTCGCAATAATTTTCTCGGTCAACGAAGCAAAAATGGCTCCTCAAAACGTCGGAATTCTCGCAATGGAAATCTACTTTCCTCCTACTTGTATCCAACAGGTAATTCTTCTTTGTCTTCTTCAGTAATCAATGCATTAAACTGCTTGTACGACACTTCATACTTGCTTTCTTCAATCCGATTATCATCATGAAACCGTTTTAGATAACTTTATGTGACTGCTGTTATCGTACAGTTGGATTTTGCTTTTTGTACATCGATTGTGCAAAAGGACATGTCTTTTTTGGGTTAATATTAAATTATTGTGAAGAATGACGGGTAGTTGCACATGCAAAATGGATCTAATACGGATAATCTTACAATCTTATGTGTTTGCGTTTTGTTAAGTTATTCATGCCAACATGATTATGACCAGAGTCTTTGAAGTTGATTTATGTTTTTGAGAAAAAAAAATTCTAAAGCTTTAATTCCTATGAGCTATGGTAAATAACCTTAAACCGAATCCATATTTTTTAGGGGTTTTCGACTGAGTTTTTACTCAGGGTCAGGATACTGTTAGTAATTTTGTATGCCTCGTATAAGGTCAAATATGGGGTTCTTATATATAAGCATGACTAACTTATGGAAGTTGCACATGCACACCTTTTTAAACACACAATATATATGCAGAATTTTCGAATTTGCACCTGATTTTATCAATTATTACAACAAAAATAAGAGGAATGTTGTGGATCATAATCAATTCCATCAACATTGGTTACCGATATTTAAAACGAGATAAATCTTTTGGTGTGAAATTTTGCTAAAAAGCTAAAAGTTGCAACTTTAGTACTTTACACATCCCATGAAGAAAGTTGCATAACTTTGGAGTTAAGACCTTCAAAGGCATGGACTTTTAAGTAATTTACACACTATTTGATCTGTTTTAACTTTTATCTTATAAGTTAGTGTAGACTATAGTTGATTGCTTAGTTATTCTCTATGTATGTTGTGCAAGTAAAGCAGAAGACATTGATGCATTGTATTTAACAATTTATTCAGTCTTTTTCTGACATTTACTTGCAAGCAAGATCTTAAATATAAGCTGTTTCACCTTAAATAAAACATTTTCTTTATTTGTTACTTTATTTTACAGGATACTCTAGAGGATTTTGATGGAGTCAGTAAAGGAAAATACACAATTGGACTTGGACAAGATTGCATGGCATTTTGTTCAGAAGTAGAAGATGTCATCTCCATGGGGTCAGTAATCAGTATAGTAATCTCAAGTTCAACATATTGGAAAGAGATGTTGTTATTCTTTAAAACAATCAATGAAACTTATAATTCTTTATATTTTCAGATTGACAGCTGTCACTTCACTACTTGAGAAATACGAGGTTGATCCAAAGCAGATTGGTCGGTTGGAAGTAGGAAGTGAAACTGTTATAGACAAAAGCAAATCCATCAAGACTTTCCTCATGGATATCTTTGAGGTATCAAATATCAATAAATCCATCTTTTTTTAACAATTCGAAAACTAAATGATTATTATTATTTTTTTTTTTTGTAGGAATGTGGAAACACGGATATTGAAGGTGTTGATTCAACAAATGCTTGTTATGGTGGAACTGCAGCATTATTAAACTGTGTGAATTGGGTTGAAAGCAACTCATGGGATGGGCGTTATGGATTAGTTGTCTGTACAGACAGTGCGGTAGGTATTATTTCACATTTGTGAAGATTTTCTTCCACAAGGGCAATTTGGTCATTTTCTTTTACTAGGTGTATGCAGAGGGACCCGCTAGACCCACTGGAGGAGCAGCTGCCATTGCAATGCTGATAGGACCAGATGCTCCAATTGCATTTGAAAGCAAATTTAGAGCAAGTCATATGTCACATGTTTATGACTTTTACAAGCCTGACCTTGCAAGTGAATATCCGGTATATATTCCTACAAGGGCAATTTGGTCAATTTACATAAAAAAACAAGTTGCTAATCTTTTAGATTTTGTTAATTTTTTTGATTTAGGTTGTTGATGGAAAGCTTTCACAAACTTGTTATCTCATGGCACTTGAGTCTTGCTACAAGGGATATTGTCAGAAGTAAGTTTGTATTAGTAGTTTAATGGGAATAACAAAATATGTTAAAAAGATTATTTATTAATTTTTTTTTTATGCTATAGGTATGAGAAATTGCAAGGAAAACAGTTTTCAATTGCTGATGCTGAATATTTTGTATTTCATTCTCCTTACAACAAGGTAAATAATTAACCAACAATTATTTTATTTCCATTCTTGAAACTTATTATAGAATATTTATAATTTATTTATTTTGTGAAATTTTGCAGCTTGTACAGAAGAGTTTTGCTCGATTAGTGTTCAGTGATGTTGCTAGAAACGCCAGGTGACTATTGAAAGTTGAAACTATTTAATATTTATAATATTTTCTCAACTTTATTTAATTATTTACATTTTTACCCTTCCATTGAACTTGAAAGTATGCTGTTATTTTTTTCAGCTCTGTTGATGAGTCTGCCAAAGAGAAGCTAGGACAATTCACATCTCTAAAAGGTGATGAAAGCTACCAAAATCGTGACCTTGAAAAGGTATATATTTATGGTTCAATGTAGATTTTTTTATATAGAAATTGGATTAGATTAGATGCAAGAAATAGCAACATACTTTCATATATTTGTTTATAATTGGTTAGTTTTTATAAAATAGAATGTTGTAATAAGAAAAAAAAATGAAAGTACATTGCTATAACTTGAAATTAAAAAAAAAAAAATTCATGGCTTATAAACTTGCAGGCATCTCAACAAGTGGCAAAACCATATTATGATAAAAAAGTTAAACCTGGAACTTTAATCAACAAGCAAGTTGGGAACATGTATACTGCTTCTATATATGCAGCTTTTGCTTCTCTTATTCATGATAAGAACAGCTCTCTGGTAATTAAGCATTTGAAATACATGTTAAATCTTTTAATAAATATTGAATCCAATTTTTTTTTTTTTTTATATTTGATTCATGATTTGGTTTCAGGATGGAAATCGGGTGATGATGTTCTCATATGGAAGTGGATTATCTGCCACCATGTTTTCATTGCATCTTAGTGAGGGAAAAGCACCTTTTAGTTTGTCAAACATTGCAAAGGTCATGAATGTTGATGACAAGTTGAAGAGAAGGACTGAGGTATATCATACATATATGTACTTCCTTTGTGTTTCTTTTTCACTTGATAAGGGTAAAATGGTCATTTAATCACATTCAGACGATTTGTTCAATCCAAAAAAGATACAGTCAGTGCATATACTACACCTACTTTAAACAAATATATAGGAACATTTCTTTTTACTTAATACATATAGAAGGGTAAATTGGTCATTTACTCACATTCAGACAGCTCATTCGGTCGAAAAAAAAAACAATATTTGTGCATACAAGACTTTGTCCTGACAAATATATATAATATAGGGACATTTCATTTTGGCTTAATACATATAGAAGGGCAAAATGGTCATTTACTCATATTCAGACAGTTGATCATTTGTTTGTTATTTGGTGTAGCTTCCACCAGCAAAATTTGTGGAACTGATGAAGGTGATGGAGCATCGATATGGAGGCAAGGATTTTGTGACTAGCAAAGATACAAGTCTTTTAGCTCCCGGGACTTACTATTTGACTGAAGTTGACTCCAAATATAGAAGATTTTATGCCAAGAAGACGACTGAGTTGTCTAATGGCCATTGAAAAGTCAAAGGGAAGAATGTAGCAAATATGGAAGTCAACTTTGGGTCTTGTTTTTAAGTGTTGGATTTGATTTGGTTTAGGGTTAGGGTTAGGGTTGATGTTGTAAGAGAAAAAAAAAAAGAGGAACCAATAATTATTTGCTTTTGATTTAAAGTTTGTTACATAATAACACTTGTTAATTATCTTGAAGAAATGTGTAAATTTATTACCCATTTACAAATTATTTGCTCAAGATAAAATTTACAATGTAAAGTAAAGATATTAGGAAATAAGATCAAGAATTCAAGATAGTGCAAATCAAACACCTAAATATATAGAGGTTCAGCCAAACATGTCTACATCCCATAACTCTAAATACAAACACTTTGTGGTAGTGTTCGAATCATATTTCAAGATTCACAAAAGTAATAGAAACTTTCAACCTAATCAAAATGGAGATGTAGATTCCAATTTCCAACTCAACTTCTTTACTATCATCAATTCATCATAATCATTACCTAACATTACTTAAACTTGATATCAATTAATAAACATGAGTACAAGTTCTACCAAGTTGCCATCCTCCACCATGCACCAGGATATGTGTCATTCCAAAATAATGAATATCTGGTTTTATCAACCAATAACATCTTTGAACCTCAAAAACTATTCCATTGAAACAAAAAGCAAAGATATTAGTATTAAAAACACTAATAGTTCTATACTTTGATCCCCACCAAAATTCTCCTCTATAGTATGTGCCAATCCCCACCCCAAACTTCCAATCAAACTCTTTATTAAAAGCAAGTGTGTGATTTCCTTGATCGCCTCCACCTTTGCTAAAGACATAGACTGCAATGTTATCTTTAATGCCATTGGTGATATACATTCTAAACTCGATATTAAGGGTAAAATGGTCATTTAATCACATTCAGACGATTTGTTCAGTCCAAAAAAGATACAGTCAGTGCATATACTACACCTACTTTAAACAAATATATAGGAACATTTCTTTTTACTTAATACATATAGAAGGGTAAATTGGTCATTTACTCACATTCAGACAGCTCATTCGGTCGAAAAAAAAAAACAATATTTGTGCATACAAGACTTTGTCCTGACAAATATATATAATATAGGGACATTTCATTTTGGCTTAATACATATAGAAGGGCAAAATGGTCATTTACTCATATTCAAACAGTTGATCATTTGTTTGTTATTTGGTGTAGCTTCCACCAGCAAAATTTGTGGAACTGATGAAGGTGATGGAGCATCGATATGGAGGCAAGGATTTTGTGACTAGCAAAGATACAAGTCTTTTAGCTCCCGGGACTTACTATTTGACTAAAGTTGACTCCAAATATAGAAGATTTTATGCCAAGAAGACGACTGAGTTGTCTAATGGCCATTGAAAAGTCAAAGGGAAGAATGTAGCAAATATGGAAGTCAACTTTGGGTCTTGTTTTTAAGTGTTGGATTTGATTTGGTTTAGGGTTAGGGTTAGGGTTGATGTTGTAAGAGAAAAAAAAAAGAGGAACCAATAATTATTTGCTTTTGATTTAAAGTTGATTACATAATAACACTTGTTAATTATCTTGAAGAAATGTGTAAATTTATTACCCATTTACAAATTATTTGCTCAAGATAAAATTTACAATGTAAAGTAAAGATATTAGGAAATAAGATCAAGAATTCAAGATAGTGCAAATCAAACACCTAAATATATAGAGGTTCAGCCAAACATGTCTACATCCCATAACTCTAAATACAAACACTTTGTGGTAGTGTTCGAATCATATTTCAAGATTCACAAAAGTAATAAAAACTTTCAACCTAATCAAAATGGAGATGTAGATTCCAATTTCCAACTCAACTTCTTTACTATCATCAATTCATCATAATCATTACCTAACATTACTTAAACTTGATATCAATTAATAAACATGAGTACAAGTTCTACCAAGTTGCCATCCTCCACCATGCACCAGGATATGTGTCATTCCAAAATAATGAATATCTGGTTTTATCAACCAATAACATCTTTGAACCTCAAAAACTATTCCATTGAAACAAAAAGCAAAGATATTAGTATTAAAAACACTAATAGTTCTATACTTTGATCCCCACCAAAATTCTCCTCTATAGTATGTGCCAATCCCCACCCCAAACTTCCAATCAAACTCTTTATTAAAAGCAAGTGTGTGATTTCCTTGATCGCCTCCACCTTTGCTAAAGACATAGACTGCAATGTTATCTTTAATGCCATTGGTGATATACATTCTAAACTCGATATTAAGGGTAAAATGGTCATTTAATCACATTCAGACGATTTGTTCAGTCCAAAAAAGATACAGTCAGTGCATATACTACACCTACTTTAAACAAATATATAGGAACATTTCTTTTTACTTAATACATATAGAAGGGTAAATTGGTCATTTACTCACATTCAGACAGCTCATTCGGTCGAAAAAAAAAAACAATATTTGTGCATACAAGACTTTGTCCTGACAAATATATATAATATAGGGACATTTCATTTTGGCTTAATACATATAGAAGGGCAAAATGGTCATTTACTCATATTCAAACAGTTGATCATTTGTTTGTTATTTGGTGTAGCTTCCACCAGCAAAATTTGTGGAACTGATGAAGGTGATGGAGCATCGATATGGAGGCAAGGATTTTGTGACTAGCAAAGATACAAGTCTTTTAGCTCCCGGGACTTACTATTTGACTAAAGTTGACTCCAAATATAGAAGATTTTATGCCAAGAAGACGACTGAGTTGTCTAATGGCCATTGAAAAGTCAAAGGGAAGAATGTAGCAAATATGGAAGTCAACTTTGGGTCTTGTTTTTAAGTGTTGGATTTGATTTGGTTTAGGGTTAGGGTTAGGGTTGATGTTGTAAGAGAAAAAAAAAAAGAGGAACCAATAATTATTTGCTTTTGATTTAAAGTTTATTACATAATAACACTTGTTAATTATCTTGAAGAAATGTGTAAATTTATTACCCATTTACAAATTATTTGCTCAAGATAAAATTTACAATGTAAAGTAAAGATATTAGGAAATAAGATCAAGAATTCAAGATAGTGCAAATCAAACACCTAAATATATAGAGGTTCAGCCAAACATGTCTACATCCCATAACTCTAAATACAAACACTTTGTGGTAGTGTTCGAATCATATTTCAAGATTCACAAAAGTAATAAAAACTTTCAACCTAATCAAAATGGAGATGTAGATTCCAATTTCCAACTCAACTTCTTTACTATCATCAATTCATCATAATCATTACCTAACATTACTTAAACTTGATATCAATTAATAAACATGAGTACAAGTTCTACCAAGTTGCCATCCTCCACCATGCACCAGGATATGTGTCATTCCAAAATAATGAATATCTGGTTTTATCAACCAATAACATCTTTGAACCTCAAAAACTATTCCATTGAAACAAAAAGCAAAGATATTAGTATTAAAAACACTAATAGTTCTATACTTTGATCCCCACCAAAATTCTCCTCTATAGTATGTGCCAATCCCCACCCCAAACTTCCAATCAAACTCTTTATTAAAAGCAAGTGTGTGATTTCCTTGATCGCCTCCACCTTTGCTAAAGACATAGACTGCAATGTTATCTTTAATGCCATTGGTGATATACATTCTAAACTCGATATTAAGGGTAAAATGGTCATTTAATCACATTCAGATGATTTGTTCAGTCCAAAAAAGATACAGTCAGTGCATATACTACACCTACTTTAAACAAATATATAGGAACATTTCTTTTTACTTAATACATATAGAAGGGTAAATTGGTCATTTACTCACATTCAGACAGCTCATTCGGTCGAAAAAAAAAACAATATTTGTGCATACAAGACTTTGTCCTGACAAATATATATAATATAGGGACATTTCATTTTGGCTTAATACATATAGAAGGGCAAAATGGTCATTTACTCATATTCAAACAGTTGATCATTTGTTTGTTATTTGGTGTAGCTTCCACCAGCAAAATTTGTGGAACTGATGAAGGTGATGGAGCATCGATATGGAGGCAAGGATTTTGTGACTAGCAAAGATACAAGTCTTTTAGCTCCCGGGACTTACTATTTGACTAAAGTTGACTCCAAATATAGAAGATTTTATGCCAAGAAGACGACTGAGTTGTCTAATGGCCATTGAAAAGTCAAAGGGAAGAATGTAGCAAATATGGAAGTCAACTTTGGGTCTTGTTTTTAAGTGTTGGATTTGATTTGGTTTAGGGTTAGGGTTAGGGTTGATGTTGTAAGAGAAAAAAAAAAAGAGGAACCAATAATTATTTGCTTTTGATTTAAAGTTTATTACATAATAACACTTGTTAATTATCTTGAAGAAATGTGTAAATTTATTACCCATTTACAAATTATTTGCTCAAGATAAAATTTACAATGTAAAGTAAAGATATTAGGAAATAAGATCAAGAATTCAAGATAGTGCAAATCAAACACCTAAATATATAGAGGTTCAGCCAAACATGTCTACATCCCATAACTCTAAATACAAACACTTTGTGGTAGTGTTCGAATCATATTTCAAGATTCACAAAAGTAATAAAAACTTTCAACCTAATCAAAATGGAGATGTAGATTCCAATTTCCAACTCAACTTCTTTACTATCATCAATTCATCATAATCATTACCTAACATTACTTAAACTTGATATCAATTAATAAACATGAGTACAAGTTCTACCAAGTTGCCATCCTCCACCATGCACCAGGATATGTGTCATTCCAAAATAATGAATATCTGGTTTTATCAACCAATAACATCTTTGAACCTCAAAAACTATTCCATTGAAACAAAAAGCAAAGATATTAGTATTAAAAACACTAATAGTTCTATACTTTGATCCCCACCAAAATTCTCCTCTATAGTATGTGCCAATCCCCACCCCAAACTTCCAATCAAACTCTTTATTAAAAGCAAGTGTGTGATTTCCTTGATCGCCTCCACCTTTGCTAAAGACATAGACTGCAATGTTATCTTTAATGCCATTGGTGATATACATTCTAAACTCGATATTAAGGGTAAAATGGTCATTTAATCACATTCAGACGATTTGTTCAGTCCAAAAAAGATACAGTCAGTGCATATACTACACCTACTTTAAACAAATATATAGGAACATTTCTTTTTACTTAATACATATAGAAGGGTAAATTGGTCATTTACTCACATTCAGACAGCTCATTCGGTCGAAAAAAAAAACAATATTTGTGCATACAAGACTTTGT